CAGAAGAATCACTTGAACCTGGGAGGTGGAGGTTGCAGTGAGCCAAGATCATGCCACTGTACTCCAGCCTGGGCAACAGAGCGGGACTGTGTCTCAAAAGAAAAAAAAGCAACAAAATGAAACTCCTGACCTCAAGTGATCCTCTCGTCTCAGCCTCTGAAAGTACTGAGATTACAGGTGTGAACCACTGCACCTGGCCTAATAAATTCTACATTTCCTTCTTGCTGAATTTCTGTTACCTTAAATTACTCTTTTCTTTTGGGGTCTTTATTGGCCATGTTAATGGCATTTGGCTGCCCTTGGCTGGTTGCTCACTCTGAGAGGGGCCCTCCAAAGCCTAGGAGTCTCTTCCAGCATGTGAAGCTTGTTGACTGGGAACTTCATTGAAGGCTCATCTGGCTGCAGATTCTGAGTCCTTCCTCCAGAACAATGGTCCCCAACAGTTTTGGCACCAAGGACCGGTTTCACAGAAGACAATTTTTCTACAGACTGGCAGATGAGGATGGTTTTAGGATGAAATTGTTCCACCTCAGGTCATCAGGCATTAGACTCTCATAAGGAGTGTGCGACCTGGATCCCTCACATGCACAGTTCATAGTGGGGTTTGTGCTCCTATGAGAATCCGATGCCACCGCTTATCTGACAGGAGGCGGACCTCAGACGGTAATGCTTGCTCACCTACTGCTGTGAGGCCTGGTTTCTAACAGCCCACAGACCTGTACTGGTCTGTGGCCCAGGGATTGGAGACCCTGCCCTAGAGCATGGTCTTCCAGACACCAGGCTATGGGTGAAGGCCTGGCTGCCAGCCTGCTGCTCACTGGGATGGAGGAGGCTGATGGCCCAGTGGGTCTCGGCAGTTAGTGTGCATCAATCTAGTCACTCAGACCAGAGCACAGATGACCACGCAGTCCACCTCTCTCAGTGTCCTACCTGTGCCTTTTCAACTGGGTGGTTGACCCCCTCATCCAGTGACTATCTGTTTCATGCTTTTCCAAAGAGTATACCTCCTGTGGTCACCTGGTGTGGGAGCAGCTACCCACAGTGTGAAATTGGGGTGTGGGGGATACAGGGACAGCTTTAACCCTCTGTCCCAGAGCACGTGTTGCAGCCTGGCCACAACCTGGCAAAGACCTAGGGCTCTCCCCCTCCTCAGGGTTACTTAGGACTCTGGTTTCTTGGTCCTCTTGCTGTGTACATTACCACTGGGCCATCAGTTTTCCAGCTTCTAAAAGGCTGTTGAGGCGACCATTTCCATTCTTCCTTTTTTTTCCCGTGGTTTTAGGATGGAAGGGAATTAAATGTGCAGATATGGTCCCTCATTTCAACTTGGAGGTTCATATTTGTTATTTATTTATTTAGAGACAGAGTCTCACTCTGTTACCCAGACTGGAGTGCAGTGGTGCTATCTCAGCTCACTGCAGCCTCCACCTCCCTGGTTCAAGCAATTATCTTGCCTCAGCTTCCCAAGTAACTGGGATTACAGCCACACACCACTATGCCCAGCTAATTTTTATATATATGAGATAGAGTTTTACTCTTGTCGCCCAGGCTGGAGTGCAATGGCTTGATCTTGGCTCACTGCAACCCTTATCTCCCAGGTTCAAGCGATTCTTCTGCCTCAGCCTCCCAAGTAACTGGGATTATAGCGCACACCACCATGCCTGGCTAATTTTCGTATTTTTATTTTTTATTTTCAAGACCGAGTTTCACTCTTGTTGCCCAGGCTGGGGTGCAGTGGCAGGATCTCGGCTCACTGCAACTTCTGCCTCCCGGGTTCAAACCATTCTCCTACCTCAGCCTTCCAAGTAGCTGGGATTGCAGGCACCATGCCCGGCTAATTTTTTGTATTTTTAGTAGAGATGGGGTTTCACCACGTTGGCCAGTCTGGTCTTGAACTCCTGACCACAGATGATCCACCCGCCTTGGCTCCCAAAGTGCTGGGATTACAGGTGTGAGCCACCGTGCTCAGCTAATTTTTGTATTTTTAGTAGAGACGGGTTTCACCATGTTGGCCAGGCTGGTCTCGAACTCCTGACCTCAAGTGATCCACCTTCCTCTGCCTCCCAGATTGCTGGGATTACAGGTGTGAACCACCACACCTAGCCCCAATCTTTTTTTTAATATGGGAAAATCTTTTTTCCTTTATGGTGTCTGCTTCTGGTGATATGCTTAGGAAACCATCATCCTGATATTGTCTAACTCTCCTTCTGTTGTCTTTTGGTCCTCTGTGATTTAGGTTTTCAACACATAGGGTAAGGGGCCCACGTACAAGCTGTGGGCTCCTGTCCCAGGTGGGCAAGCAGACTGCACACACAGGCAGCAATTTACCAGGAGGCTTCTTGGGTGGGGTGAAGTGGAGCTGCCAAAAATTTATTCCACCCTATGAGAGTTCACTTGATTGATAGGTATTGTGTTTCTCAAAAATAGAAGAAACTCACAGAAGTTTCCTTGGAGCAGAACATAAATCTGTCCCATAAATGGCTAGAAGGAATCATCCTGTCCCCCTGAGGTCAGGAGTCTGTGCCCCAGGGAGGAAAGCACCTTCCTGCTTTAGACACCAGCAGGAGGACAGAGGAGCTGGCCGTCCTGGGAATTCATGCCCGCATTCAGCAATGGGAAAGTAGTTAGACCAGGGAAGGGGGCCTGGCAGTGTGGCAGGGGGAGCAGTGGTAAAGAGGGTGGGGTCAGGGGAGAGGCCTCATTCAGAGGGGAGAGGGTCCTTGGTGAGAACCAGGGTGGGTGTGGAGGGAAGAGTCAGGGCGTGGAGCGGAGCAGAGCGGGAGTTGGGGTGGGGAGGCCAGTTCATGCCTCATCAACATGCCTGTGTGAGTGTCCTTCCTGTGGGCTGTGGGGCTGGCCTCAGGGTACACTACAGGTGACTCAGAGCTCCAGTGGGAGGGTGGCTCTGCCTGAGGGAGCTGCACATGCTCATTGGTCCATCATCTGCTAGGGAGGGGGCGACAATAACCTCAACACATGGCGGAGGTGTTTTAGGATGCTGTCCTGTTGCACATTTGGGCAGGTTGTTGCCTGACTTATTTCTTTAATGCATACCTAGCACTTCCTGTATGTCCAGTGCCTTATAATATTAACTACTGTCATCCTCAGGGCCACCTGTGAGGTCGGCACTGTCCCCACTGTCTGTGCAAAGGAAGGACAGGGAGGCGCTCCCAGATGGGTTGAGGGCAGACTGGGGCAGCTTACCTCAGGCCTCACTGGCCTTAGCAGGCTTTGAGCTTGATGCCCTGTGCTTCTTCCCTAGGATGCTCAGTTTGCCAGTTTTTTGCTTTTTCTTAGTCTCATTCAGATTACAAGGACTGGGACTGGGCTCTTGTTGACAGAGTTTCCCAATTTGGAATAGGAAGGAGGTGAGGAACAACAGGCCCATGCTGGGCAGAAGCCCTGTAGACCCAGCCAACACTGGGCCTGTCCTCACTGCCTGGTCCTCTCTGTGCACCTTCATCCTGGCCACAGCCTCTCAGAGCCCTCCTTTATGAAGAGGCCACGCTTTGGGGGAGGGAGTGCCTCTCCCAAGACGGAGAGCTGCTGAGTGGCTAGGTTGGAATTTGAGCCCAGGCCCCTCCTCTGTCTGCTTCCTGCCAGGCCCAGCTGCCTGCCCCAGCACACGCCTTCCCCCAGGCACCCTGTCCTCCACTGCCAGGACGTGCTTGTTTGAGGCCTGGTTTTCCCCCATGGCTGCCACGCTGATTCTCCGTTCTGCACGTCGTGTCCCATCAAAATGCATGACAGTACCACTCCTTGTGTTAAAAAGAGCCAGTTATTTTGCCTGGCAGTGATGACTGCCTGCTGCACACAGAAGTGGACGCCGTTGTCTCTGCTCTCAGAGTGTTCTTGGTATAGTGGGACTGGCACACGGGAACCAGAGATTCCTCCAGGAAGTGCCACAGACATGGGTGAGGTGGCTACAGGGTTTCTGTGCAGCTGACAGCAGGGGTGCCTGGGTGGGAGCAGGGTGGGATAGTCAGTTAATGTGCCAGACAGTAGGTCATCGTCCCCGGGGCCCTGGGGAGAGTGTGTGGGGCAGGTGCAGGAGTAGGTTCCTCGGTGGCCTTCTGGACAGGCTGCCTGCCCTGCTGGTGAGGAGCGAGGCTCAAGGCAAGCAGGGGCTCAGGTTGCTTCCCACACTCAGTGGCAGTTGCTCACTGGCAGTCATGTGACCTGGGGAGCTGGTGAGGCCGTGGGGATAGGAATGGGAACGGGAGACAGAGGCCCTTTGGGAGGAATTGCCACAGGTGCAGTGGGAGTTGGGGCAAAGATTGGAACTTTGGAGAATTAAAGGCGGCAGTCAGAAAGTGAAGGGGGTTCCCAAGTTTCTGGGATGGGCACTTGGTGCTGGGAGATGAAGACACCAAGAGCTCAGGCAGGGTCAGGCAGTGCCATTGAGACACACCATGTTCTGGGGACAGTTCTGGACAGTAGGACATCCTCAGACCCCCTGGTGGGGGAGCTCCAAGGGCCTGTAATGATGAATCGGTCCCCTGGGAGGCTTCTGTCTAAGCTAGATACCAGTTGAACCCTGACTGAGTGCACAGACATAGCTATGGCAACCAGCTAGACCATGGCCCAAGGCAGAGCATGGGAGCCCAGTTCACAGCAAGGGACTGTGTGCTCTGAGCAGGTAACAACCCTTGTGTTCAGAGGTCTGGCTGGTTGCAAACAGGGAGTGGCTCCCTGCCCCCTTCGTCAGCTAGTGTGAACACCACCCAGGCAGCCTTGGGTTCTTCGGCGGCCGCCTCATAGGCCTGTACTGTTTTCGAACCTGTTGCTTATGTTGGACAGGACTGTGGCAGGACAGTCATCGAGGGTCTTCCCTTGTGAGCTGACACCAGTCTGCTCCCTGCCCTCATCTGGCTGGACGAGCCCTCGTCTTCCGGGCTTGCTTGTGTCGGGGCAGAGCTCACCGTGACAGGTTGGTTCTCTCTTCTTTGTCTGAGGCTGTGCTCCTTGCTCCATGTTTGGGGCTGTCTCCTTGTGTGATAGTTTCCTTTCATTTCGTGACAGTGGCTTGAAGGGTTTTGTTTTCAGGAGACAGAGACCCATTCGGGTCTGGCTGCTCAGGAAGGCATGCTGGGGATGGCGGCAGAGCCCAGCTTAGGGAGATCAGAAGGGGGCTTTGGGAGCAGCCAGTCCTGTTCTGAAGGTGGGCCTGGGTCCTGCCTGCAGCCTCCCACAGCAGGCGTGTTAGGTCTAAGGGAGGAAGGAAGGGGACTTGACCTCAGCATGAGTGTGAAATGGGTGCCCTCATGGAGTCAATGCCCAGGCAGGGGATGCCTCTGAAAAGCGCCAGGCCAGCTGGAGAGGAAAGGGCAGGCATCAGCGAGGAAGTGTGGGGGATTAGCTGCAGAGTTCCTGGGTTCTTTTTCACTTTATCTCTTTTGTGGCACATGATCTTCAAACTAGAAACAGGAGCAAAGACGTTTTTAAAAATACGGTTGACAGAACTGCAAACCGCATAGGGTCTAACTGGCCACCAAACCTGCTGGGCCTCCATGGGTGGATGCTGTGGAGGAGATGTGGGAGTGACATTGCACAGTGCTGCTGTTCGGAGCCCTGGCCTTGCTGGAGGAGCACCTTGCTCCTCGGCCCCACTCTGATCCCCTGAAGCTCATGCAGAAGTGGACATTTATCCCAACTCAGTTTCCTGGTGTTGGCCTGTCAAGACTTGCCTGTTTCCGGCCTCCAGCTTGGTCCATGCTCCTCAGGCTCTGAGTAGCTGACAGTTGGTGCTCACGGTGTCCACGTCATCTGTGACGTTACCCAGGACAGGACGGGCTCATCCGCCAGCACATCCCCTAGTGTATGGTGCCACCTTGCCTTCGGCTCACCAAGCACATTTCTTCAACCTGGTCATCCCATCACCTCAAAGGTATTGCACTAAGCTGTGTTTCTAGATCCTGTCTCTCTGACTGTGCCAGGTGTCTCTGCTGCACCAAGACAGTGTCTGTCTGGGGCCTGCTAGTCTGCCGACACTCTCAAAAATGGCCAGTAGCAGCTCAAAAGGACTGCTTTTGTATCAAGCCTGGCTTTGCTCTCTGATCGCTATTGGTGGGCACAGGGCCCATCCGTGTAACTGGTTGTCACTTCCCAGACTCTTCTGCACCTTCTCTATCTCTGACTCCTAGTCACATCCACCACCGACAGCCTCCCCACTCCTCACAGAACCAGCCTCCAGGCTGTCCCGCTTGGCCTGCAAGTGCTCCCCTGCTGTTTCTACTGCTCTCCCCTGGGTCTCCCTATTGGTTCCAGTGCTTTGGGAGGCCAAGGTGGAGGATCACTTAAGGCCAGGAGTTTGAGACCAGCCTGAGCAACAAAGGAAGACCTTGTCTCTACAAAAAAAGTAAAAAAAAAAATTAGCCTGGCATAGTGGCACATGCCTGTAGTCCCAGCTATCTGGGAGGCTTTGGTGGAAGGATACTTGAGCCCAGGAGTTTGAAGCTGCAGTGAGCTGTGTTTGCACCACTGCGCTGAACCTGTGACAGAGCGAGACCTTGTCTCAAAAAACAAAAGAAGAAAAAGAAAAAAGGAAGGTGGGAAGAACAGGTATGCTCTTGAAGGGCATACCTGCCTTGAGGGGCACAGGTGAGACAACCTTCAGGAAACAGGCCTATGCAGCCACTTCTATCAGAAATGTTCACTGACCTCTTGGGGCCTAGCAGCTGTCATCTCAGCCTCTGGGTGTGGAGAGCCAGCCCCGCGCCAACCTGAGAGCATGCGCACAGGGTCTTCCCAGCCCACCCATGCCTCGCTTCCCCAGAACTCTGACCCAGCACCGTGCGTGAGCTGGTTGTCATTATCCTCCTGAATTGTTAACTCTCTCATCTTTTGTGACTCTGGTGACCTTTCCCCTTACTTCTCTGTTCCACCCCTGGATGCCTTGTGAGCAGGAACCCCTTGCTGCCTCCTCGCCTCAATTCAGGCTTCAGGAAGCAGACAGGGAGGTAGGAACTCCAGGAGTGCAGGAGTCTCATTCTGTTGCCCAGGCTAGAGTTCAGTGGTGCCGTCTTAGCTCACTGCAACCTCTGCCTCCTGGGTTCAAGCAATTCTCCTGCCTCAGCCTCCCGAGTAGCTGGGACCACAGGTGCCCGCCACCATGCCGGACTAATTTTTGTATTTTTAGTAGAAACAGGGTTTCGTAATGTTAGACTGGTCTCAAACTCCTGACCTCAGGTGATCCACCTGCCTTGGCCTCCGAAAGTGCTGGGATTACAGACCTGAGCCACTGTACCCAGCCCAAGAACGCTTTTTGAATCTAGCAGGGTGATAGGTCAATGTCATTTTGTTTTTCTTTTTACGTTAAGACAGATGCGTGCACCTCTGAGCATTAAACCTTCTTTCTGTGATGTCTTTAAGAATCACAGTCGTATTGCTGCAGCCCCGTGTGTACATTCCTTCAGTTTCCTGAGGTTAGCTGGTTGCTGTTTGGAGTGGTCAGAATGCTTTCTAGCATGGGCTGGACTGGGCCTATTCAATTCACTCAGAGGCAAGGCCCCAGAGCCCTGACATGCTTGCTTCTTTTTTTTTTTTTTTTTTTTTTGAGACGGAGTCTCGCACTGTCTCCTAGGCTGGAGTGCAGTGGTGCGATCTCCGCTCACTGCAAGCCCTGCCTCCCGGGTTCACGCCATTCTCCTGCCTCAGCCTCCCAAGTAGCTGGGACTACAGGCACCTGCCACCATGCCCAGCTAATTTTTTGTATTTTTAGTAGAGACGGGGTTTCACCATGTTAGCCAGGATGGTCGCAATCTCCTGACCTTATGATCCACCCGCCTTGGCCTCCCAAAGTGCTGGGATTACAGGCGAGAGCCACCGCACCCAGCCTGTTTCTTTTTTTCTTTTTTTTTCTCACTCTGTCACCCAGGCTGGAGTGCAACGGCGCGATCTCGGCTCACTGCAACCTCCACCTCCTGGGTTCAAGCAATTCTCCTGCCTCGGCCTCCTTCGTAGCTGGGATTACAGGCATGCACCACTACACCCGGCTAATTTTGTGGGGGTTTTTTTTTGTTTTTTTTTTTTAATTTTTTTTTTGTTGTTGAGACAGAGTCTCGCTTTGTCACCCAGACTGGAGTGCAGTGGCCGGATCTCAGCTCACTGGAAGCTCCGCCTCCCGGGTTCACGCCATTCTCCTGCCTCAGCCTCCCGAGTAGCTGGGACTACAGACGCCCGCCACCTCGCCCGGCTAGGTTTTTTTGTATTTTTTAGTAGAGACGGGGTTTCACCGTGTTAGCCAGGATGGTCTCGATCTCCTGACCTTGTGATCCGCCCGTCTCGGCCTCCCAAAGTGCTGGGATTACAGGCTTGAGCCACCGCACCCGGCCTAATTTTGTGTTTTTAATAGAGATGGGGTTTCACCATGTTGGTCAGGCTGGTCTTGAACTCTTGACCTCAGACGATCCACCTGCCTTGGCCTCCCAAAGTGTTGGGATTACAGTCGTGAGGCACTGCACCTGGCCACTTGTTTCTTTATCAGCAAACCCAGGGTGGGAGGCCAGGCAAGGAAGAGACCCATCCCACTAGGAAGAAGGCAGGCCATGAGCAGACCAGAGCCGCCCGCCCCTGGTAGCCACAGTCCAGGCCTTTCTAACAGATGCACACTTGTTTTTGTCTTTCCGTGTGTGAGTGTGGGAGGTGGGGGGTGGGGTGGGACAGCATGTGCTGCATTCAAGGGGGGTCCAGCTTAACTGACGTACATGACTTTTTATCCCCGTGGAGCAGCAGTGTGATGAAAAACCCTTCACAGGATTCTATCTTGGTACAAAATTGTTGGTAAATCGGTTTTTAAAGATACTTTTCACATTTATGTGGTCTTTCTCCTCTTGTCGCTAGCTAGAAGTTAAGCTAGAAGCTTGTCTCTTTGATCCCACATATAGGACTTGCATTGTCCCACATGGGGACAGACCCTTGCCTTGGGAGGAATTGAGAGATGACTTCATGTGTCCCCTTCATTTTATAGGAGGAATCAAATCTGGAACCAGGGTGCTACACCATCTGGCAGAGTTCGTGGGGAACGCAGGCCACTCAGAGAGCAGGAAATAGAGGCCAGCTGGCCACCCAGTAGTCCTTGATCCTGAACTGGTTGTGAGCCATCCCTAGGGGCTAGCCTCCTGCCCCCTCATGCCAGGGATCTCTCTTTGCTTCATGGCGACCACCTTTCCTGTCCCTTTTTTCTGATCACCCTGCTCGCTCTCTCCCTCACTCAGTGGCCTGTCATTGCTCTCTATTGAGTGCCCCTTCCTATATTCGTCTCCTGGACCTCAGCCAGGCTGGTGTGCTGGGTCTGATAGCACCTTGTCACCAGGGGCAGCTGCTTGTGCAGGGCCTGTTGACCAGGGCCCCACAGTGGTGAACTCACTGGTGTGTGCAAACATCTCTTTTCCTTTTGTGTTTCAGTGAGGATGCCATGAGGAAAGCTGGCGTGGCACACAGTAAATCCAGCAAGGATATGGAGAGCCATGTGTTCCTGAAGGCCAAGACCCGGGTAAGGCCCTAGTGAGTGGAGCCCCTCTGGCAGAGAGCCTTGGAGAGGAGAGTGTGACAGACTCTGGAACCTCTCTGTTGGGTGTCCTAGGGTGTAGGGGTGGGGTGGTTACTCACTGATTGATCACAGGCACCGTTGGCTTTGCCTGCAGCAGTCTGGGTCCTCCTGTGTGTCCATGGTACAAGGAGGGCATTTGGGATGCAGGCCCAGCCTCTAGCCCCAGACCTCACTGCCGGCACCTTCCATCTGTTGTCAGCCCCCGTGAATCCTACTGGAAGCTTGCTCAGGCCCCTAGCTGCTCCTGTGGAAGGAATCAGTGCCATGAGCAAGAACCTGGTTTGTCCTCAGCCCCTCCTAGGGGTCCTTACCTAAGCCCTACAGGGCCCTGAGGCATGCGCCCAGAATCATTCCTGTCCCCTTTTGCTAGAGTGAAGAAGGTGATGCTTATCTAGAACTCGTCACAGGTGGAGTGGAGAAGAAGGATTTCCACTACATGTGGGCTCTCTCCCTGGGTGGGGCACCACATTGAGGGCTTTATGTGACCACCTCCTTTCATCTGTCCCTGGGACAGAACCATTTTATTAGAAATGAACAAGACACATATGCACTTGTGTGCACATGTGTGTGCAAGGCAGAGCTGCAAGAGCACAGGGACTGAGGTGGGGTAGAGTGGGCTCTGTACTAGGGATCTGTTTGATAAGCCTTTTCTTTTTCTTTAAGAGCTTTATACGATTCACGCTTTAAAGTTTACATTTCAGTGGTCTTTAGGATATTCACAGAGTTGTGCGGCCATCACCAAAATCTAATTTTGAAACATTCATTAATAAATAAAAAGAGATGCAGCTAGCTTCACTATGTTGCTCAGGGTGGTTTCAAACTACTGGCCATATGCCATCCTCTTGCCTAGGCCTCCCAAAGTGCTGGGGTCACAGGTGCGAGCCACCAAGCCTGGCCTAATTTTAGAATTTTTTTTTTTTTGAGACAGGGTCTCACTCTGTACCCAGGCTGGAGTGTAGTGGCGTGATCTCAGCCCACTGCAGCCTCAACATCCCGGGCTTAAGTGATCCTCCTTTTTTAGTCTTCTGAGTAGCTGGGACTACAGGCGTGTGCCACCACACCCGGCTAAGTTTTTTATGTTTTTGTGGAGACGGGGTCCCACTATGTTGACCAGGCTGGTCTTGAACTCCTGATCTCAAGCTATCCTCCTGCCTTGGCCTCCCTAAGTGCTGGGATTACAAGTATGAGCCACCATGCTCAGCCTTCAACATTTTTTAAAGAAACTTTATACCTGATAGCAGTCACATTCCCTTTTCCTTCAACCCTCAGCTACCACTTATACTTTCTACTGCTATAGATTTGCCTATTTGGAATTTTCCATATACAATATACAATTGTACAATATATATATTTTTTGTTTTTTGTTTTTTTGAGACAGAGTTTTCCTCTTGTTGCCCAGGTTGGAGTGCAGTGGCACAATCTCAGCTTACTGCAACCTCTGCCTACCAGGTTCAAGCGATTCCTCCGCCTCAGACTCCCAAGTAGCTGGTATTACAGGCGCCCACCACCATGCCCGACTAATTTTTTGTATTTTTAGTAGAGACCGGGTTTCATCATGTTGGCCAGGCTGGTCAAACTCCTGACCTCGGGTGATCCGCCTGCCTCAGCCTCCCAAAGTGCAGGGATTACAGGTGTGAGCCACTACACCCGTCCTTGTACAATATATGTTTTCATTTTGCAGATGGCTTATTTCACTTAGCATAATATTTTCAAGGTTCAAGGTCCATGAACCATGTTTGCTATATACTTTATTCCTCTTTTTTTTTTTTTTTTTTTTTTTTTGTGAGACAGAGTCTTGCTCTGTCCCGCAGGCTGGAGTGCAGTGGTGCAATCTCCGCTCACTGCAAGCTCCGCTTCCCGGGTTCACACCATTCTCCTGCCTCAGCCTTCCGAGTAGCTGGGACTACAGGGGCCCGCCACCACGCCCGGCTAATTTTTTGTATTTTTAATAGAGACAGGGTTTCACCTTGTTAGCCAGGATGGTCTCGATCTCCTGACCTCATGATCTGCCTGCCTCGGCCTCCCAAAGTGCTGGGATTACAGGCATGAGCCACCGTGCCTGGCCTCCTCTTTTTTTTTTTTTTTAGGTGGAATCTCGCTCTGTCACCCAGGCTGGGGTGCAGTGGCACAATCTTGGCTCACTGCAACCTCCACCCACTGGGTTCAAGCAGTTCTTCTGCCTCAGCCTCCTTAGTAGCTGAGATTACAGGTGTGTGCTACCACCATGCCTGGCTAGTTTTTGTGTTTTTAGTAGAGATGGGGTTTTGCCATGGTCTAGGGCTATGTTAACCAGGCTGGTTTCGAACTCCTGACCTCAGGTGATCCACCTGCCTTGACCTCCAAAAGTGCTGGGATTACAGGCGTGAGCCACCGCACCGCGCCTAGTCAACTTTGTTCCTTTTTATTGTCAAATATTCCTTTTCTGGATGGCCATATCACATATTTTATAGCTATTCATTAGTTGGTGGACATTTACATAGTTTCTACTTTTTGGTTATTATGAATAAGCAGAACAATAGTTCATGTATAAATTTTTGTGTGGGCTGTGTTTTCATTTCTCTTGGGTATATACCTAGGGGTAGAGTTGCTGGGTCATATCGTACCCCTGTATTTGACCTTTTGAGGAAATACCAGATTTCCCAAAGCAACTGCACTATTTTAAATTCTCACCAGCAACTTAAATGAGGTTTCAGTTTCTCCTCATCCTCTCCAGTACTCGTTGTCTGTTTTAATTGTAGCCATTGTGTAATGGGTGTGAAGTGGTGTCTCATTGTTTTGATTTGCATTTGCCTAGTGACTGATGATGCTGAGCATCTTTTTCATGTGCTTTTTGGCCATTTGTATATTTTCTTTGGAGTAATGTCTATTCAGATCCTCTGTTCATTTTTAAACTGGGTTGTTAGTCTTTTTATTGTTGGGTTGTAATAGTTCTTTATGCATTTGGATATAAGTCTGTTATTAGATATATAATTTGCAAATATATGGGGGGATTTTTATTTATTTTTTTACTTTTATTTTTATTTTTTTTGAGACAGTCTCGCTCTGTTGGCCAGGCTGGAGTGCCATGGCACGATCTTGGCTCACTGCAGCCGCCGTCTCCTGGGCTGAAGCAATTCTCCTGTCTCAGCTCCTGAATAGCTGGGATTACAGGCGTGTGCCACCATGCCCGGCTAATTTATGTATTTTTAGTAGAGACAAGGTTTCACCATGTTGGCCAGGCTGGTCTCAAACTCCTGACCTCAGGTAATCCACCCCCCTCGGCCTCCCAAAGTGTTGGGATTATAGGCTTGAGCCACAACGCCCGGCTGACTCTTTTTATTGTTTTTTTTAAATTAACAATTTTTGGCCAGGCACGGTGGCTCATGCCTGTAATTCCAGCACTTTGGGAGGCCTAGGTAGGCAGATCACCTGAGGTCGAGAGTTCAAGACCGGCCAGGCCAACATGGAGAAACCCCTGTCTCTACTAAAACTACAAAATTAGCCGGGCATGGTGGCACATGCCTGTAATCCCAACTACTCAGGAGCCTGAGGCGGGAGAATTGCTTGAACCCGGGAGGCGGAGGTTGGTGTGAGCCAAGATCGCGCCAGTGCACTCCAGCCTAGGCAACAAGAGTGAAACTCCATCTTAAAAAAAAATTGACAATTTTTAATTGTTTTTGTTAGTTTGTATATTCTTTTTCTTTTTTCTTTTCTTTTCTTTTTTCTTTTTTTTTTTTTTTTTTGAGATGGAGTCTCACTCTGTCGCCCAGGCTGGAGTTCAGTGGCACAATCTCAGCTCACTGCAACCTCCGCCTCCCGCGTTCAAGTGATTCTTCTGCCACCACGTCCAGCTAATTTTTGTATTTTTAGTAGAGATGGGTTTCACCATGTTGGTCAGGCTGGTCTTGAACTCCTGACCTCAGGCAATCCACCTACCTCTGCTTCCCAAAGTGCTGGAATTATAGGCGTGAGCCACCGTGCCTGGCCAGTTTGTATTTTCTTATAATTAAATGAATTTTTGTAAGGGCTATCTCAGATTTATAAGTGCTCTGTCGCCAGGCTGGAGTGCAGTGACACGATCCCGGCTCACTGCAACCTCCACCTCCCGGGTTTGAGCTATTCTGCCTCAGCCTCTCGAGTAGCTGGGATTACAGGCACACACTGCCACGCCCAGCTAATTTCTACATTTTTAGTAGAGACGGGGTTTCACCATGTTGGCCAGGATGGTCTCGAACTCCTGACCTCAGGTGATCCACCCCTCTCGACCTCCCAAAGTGCTGGGATTACAGGTGTGAGCCACCGCACCCGGCCTCACTTGTGAGTTTTCATGTGACTGCTTTCCATCCGCAGCCCAGCCATGCTGACAGGGCAATAAAGGCTTCATCAGGCTGCACATCAGTTTTCCTTACATGGCCCCCACGTGGTATCTTTAGTAGCATAGCTGGACTTCCTTTTAGCATGGCAGCTGGCTTGCAAGAGAAGGAAGAAGTGGAAGCTGCCAGTCCTCACAACTCCTAGAACATCACTTGGAAACAGTAAGTCCCAAGGCCAGTGCAGGTTCAGGGGAGGGTAAATTACCTCTACCTTTTGATGAGAATGGCAGCCTATAGGCAGGCCATTAATTATTTTGGGAGCACCGTGGAGACTAGCTACCACAGAGACATGCCCAGCACCTTAGGATTAATCCTTCCCTCCCAAAAGAGGCGTCCAGCGGAACAACTGCCCCTTCCTATGACAGCTCTCTCTGCGTTGGCCCCTGAATTAACTGTAGCCTGCACACTGTGCCATAATGATTTTAGTCCATTTCCTTTTATCAAGCCATTTCTAAATCCCAAACTCCAGGAAGAAGCTCTGATTAATTGGAAGACAAATATGTGTAAGAACTATTGGAAATTTCCTACATCGTTTTTACAGGGACAGACATCTTACTTGGATATTGTCTGGTGGCCATCTTTTTACTTACT